GATCTCTGTAATGTAGCAAACCCTCCTTCCCCGGTAATGGCTAGCCCTAAAGTCCCCGCCATATCTGCCCCTCCCTGTTACGACCGGAATGCTCCGACCCACTCCCATGGCCGTGGTCCCCCCCAACCACCCCGGTGACCCCCGCATTCCCCGGCAGGTCCTCCGAATCAAGCATACTCAAGCACTCACACAACCAATCCCCACATAATGATTAAAATACAAAAATACAACAATAATAGCAATAAAAGTGGGTCACTCACACACTCACATACAATCCCATATACTCAACATACCTATTTAAAATTAAAATTTAGAGCTAGGAAGAAGGAAGAGGAGAAGGGGGAAAAAAAGTGCGATTTGCAGATAATCCATGACTAAATTTGATGTTTAAATAAGCTGCATAGCCATACACAAAAGTGCATGTATGAATGCCTTGTACACAAAGGAATGAACATATATCAGTTCTTTATAGAATACTGGTAATAGAGTACATTTCAATGACTTGAAGAAAACTCTTTTGCACACAAGTACCAAATACTATAATTCTTTGGTATGTCAATTTGCCAGAATACCAGCTTGCCAGAAGTAAACAAAGGGTTACTAAAAACCATGATACAGAAAAATATATGATCTTACTACAGAGTTTCATGAGCTGTAAAATAATCTATGACTCACCTCATGATTGCAGAGATTTGCCAATTGCTTCTGTTCTTGTGCATAATATGCTGCCTGCTGATAATAGAAACCTGGGTTTTGTGTTTGAATAGCTGTCAACCCTAGTTTAATAGCTTCATCAAATAGATCTCCAAAAGCCTGAAATCTGTTAAGAAACCATAAACATAGACTTTAATATTTTACCAAAAGTTGAACTGAAAATAAAAGTCATGATAAGAGGCAATTCATGAATATATAAGGTCCTAAGAATCTAAATTTAAAGAAGCACTTTAAATTTTCCAGCTTTCATAATTATATATAAAAAAAAAACACAATGTGTTATGTGTCACAAAATGTAAGAATAAGAAACACATTTCTTTTCATTGTTTCCCAAGGCTTCTTTGCAGGGTTGCAATCATAATACATCAGCTATTAATGTCAATTTTTAAAAGGAAACGTATTAGCAGTATTAATAAGCTTTTATCATGGTGATTGCTAATTGCACTAGAGATACACAAGGCTCACTAGGTGACTTACTCAGGCAAGTTTATTTATATATTTACCGTGTTTCCCCGAAAATTCAACAGGTCCTGATACTAAGCCCAATCGGGCTTTTCAGCACATGAGTTAAAATACCCCCCCAAAAAATAAGCCCCCCCAAACTACTTAAATGCATGCATGACAAGAGACAGCAGGCTTTTCGGGTGTTCACCAAATCCGAAAGATAAGGGTAATGCCGAGGGGGTATGTGAGAAGAAAGAAGAGGGTTGTGATTTTTTTTTTTTTTTTGCAAGTTTAAATGTGTCACGTTTTGCACCTGGAAACCCAACAGTCCTGCAACCCACCACACCCCCCTCTATCTCTCTCGCCCTCTCCGGGTGGCCCCTAAACTTCTCAGGACACCGCCTGGCAAAGCCCACGCCAAGCGGGTGTGGTGCCTCCTTTTGACAGCCAGACTGTCTTTCTACCTTTTTGTTAAGCATGCCTGAATGGAAAGTGCTGCTCCCACGGAGGGAGATCAGTTTGACTTTGGGAGCCGCGTTTTGAATGCTCCAACGCTTGTCACGGTTGACAGCTATCGCCTCAGTTCTTATCGGGCAGCAGCGAGGCTTTTCGGCTTTCCTTGCTTTTGGGAGCCAACTTTGGCGGACGTGGGGCATTCCATGCTGACTGACAGCTCTCGCTGCGATTGTCCTTGAGTAGCGACGAGGCTGCTTTTAGAGGAGTTTGAAGCCTCCCTTGCAAGTAGAGGCAAATGTTATCTATTCCCCTCTACGAGAGGAGGAGGAGAAAGGAGGAGGAAGTTCCATGAGTGGGGAAGCTTGGAGGTGAAAGGAGGGGAGAGGCATTGAGAAACTCTCCCCCCCCATCCCAAGCACAACACCTGCCTCATCTCCGCCCTGTCCAGCTGGTGCGGCTCTGCTTTTTGCAAAGAAAA